ATCCAGGTGAGGCGGTTTCTGTGCTGAACTCGTGTCTGGACCTGATAATGGACTGGATGAGGGTTAATAAATTGAAACTCAATCCAGACAAGACGGAAGTGCTGTTAGTAGGTGCTTCATCGGACAGGTTGGAGGGCCATTTCCCTGCCCTGAATGGGGTTACACTCCCCCTAAGGGACAGGGTCCGCAGCTTGGGGGTGCTCCTGGACCCCAGTTTAACACTGGAAGCCCAGGTGGACTCGGTGGCCAGAGGCGCCTTCCTTCAGCTGCGGAAATTTTACCAGCTACGGCCCTACCTGGACGAGCGGAGTCTCATGACAGTTACACACGCACTGGTAACATCTCACATATATTACTGCAATGCGCTCTATGTGGGGCTGCCTTTGAAGATGGTCCGGTGACTGCAACTGGTCCAGAATTGAACTGCGCAGCTGGTGAGTGGTGGGGCCACTAGGGAACATATCAAGCCAATTCTGTTTCACATTGGCTACCAGTTGCTGCCCAAGCCCAATTCAAAGTGCTTGTTTTGACGTATAAAGCCCTAAACGGCTTGGGCCCTGGATACCTGAAGGACCGTCTCCTTCCATATGAACCTACCCGGCAGTCCAGGGAGCCCTTTTGAAAGAGCCGTCCCTTAAGGAGAAGAGGGAGGGCTTGTAGAGAAAGGGCCTTTTCGGCAGCTGCCCCCAGTCTATGGAATGCCCTCCCGACTGAGATTCGTCTGGCACCGACGCGGATGACATTTTGGTGCCAGGTCAAAACCTTCCTGTTCCAGAAGGCTTTTAACTGAAATAATATCAGCTGTGGGTCTGATGGCAATTTTTAGAATATACATTTTAATTGCATTTTAATTATTTTGCCCTTTTATTTTGCCTTTTTATTGTATTTTAAATGCTGTAAGCCGCCCAGAGACCTTCGGGTAGTGTGGGTGGCATATAAGTTAAATAAATAAATAAATAAATAAATAAAATAGAAATCTAATAAATAATATTCAGACCAGCTAAGCATCAGATGACCTTTATTATGTCCTGATGTTTAAAACCATAGAATTCAAAGAGGGTGTACTTTCTTTTTCACATGACTGTAATTTGTAAAGAGAAACACAAAGCTGAAGTATCCTCTTCAATACCGTTTCTTCCCGTATCCAAGACCTTATACCTTCTTCTCTCCAACAGGATGAAAACATCATGAGTTCCATGAAGCTCTTTGACAATGTGATCTAGCTAGCTACTCTCGAAGCCCAGATCTTCACATGCCCTCCCAGGGCTTCTCTCCTTAGCATATCCCTCTTATGCACTCTTCTCTTGGCTGCATGGACAAAACTGCCCCTTGTCCTCACTGGACTGGGCAATTTCTGTGGAGGCAATCTTCTTGTATCCAAGCTGCACCTTGGGAGAGATCCCTGTAAAGGGAACAAAGGAGGAGATTTCAGCTGGGCTAGACCAAGGCCCAGCAAGGGGTGTGGCCTGGCATTCACAAGCACTTTCTCTGGGCATTCAAGAAAAACAACAACAGATCAACGCGCCACCTCCATCCCCAGAAAAACTGCACTTGTCCTGTTCAGTCACACAGTAGAGTGACCACTTTTTAGGGACTTTCAAATCATAGTAAACGGCTCTTCTCTCCACAAGCTCCAAGAGGGTTGCACAGTACCAAATGGCAATGGAAGCGCTGATTCTCAAGGACTCACAGATTTGGTGTATGTGCAAGCTTTCCTTCTCCCGTACAGGTGGGAATTCTGTTCCACACCAAGAGTTACGCTGTACATGCGCTAATACCCTTATGCTTCCAAGAGGGGGAGGCATTCTGCAGCGTCAATGCCCATTGTCACTCTAATTCAGTTTAAATTCTTAGTAACTCTGCATAAGAGCTTCAAATGGGGAAAAGACAGATGGGTGGAACTCTTCTGTCCATTTATTTCCTCCACACTCACACAAAGTTTCGAAACTTGGTGTCACTCAAGAAAGGCAGGGTCAAAAGAACTCTTAGCTTTCATAGTGAAATCAGGAATTAATTGTATCAGCATTCCTGTGGAGAGGGGGGAAAACCACTTAATCCTTTGAGTTCCAGTTTTTCCATGCTACTTTTCCCCACTTGCAAGCAATAGTAAAAGTAGGGGTACAAGTGCAGAAGACCTATCACTGGAAACATTTAGGTCAGGATGGAATATAAACATGTTTCTACATGGCTTTGCTGCATAGGGTCCCCAGGTGGTCCTAGATAACGTTTCTTAAGCACCTTCAGAAACTAGGTCTACAGAGAAAACACGTTAAGCACTCCTACATTCTTCAGTGAGAAACTCAGGGATCAGCTAAAACTTGTGGGTGGCAATGCAATAGAAGGTATGAGAATATCAAGGCATGAGGGCTACAGGTTATGGTTAGTACAGCATTAGTCAAAGGCGAGGTTCAACCATTTTCTTTGAGCTTGGCTGTACTGACAGATGAAAACAGGGGTTCCACAAAACTTCTTGATGTACTGTGACTATGGTACATGTCAGATTCTTCAGTGAGAAACTCAGGGATCAGCTGTGACATGTACTGTGATTATGGTACATGTCAAAATTTTAAAAGGACATTTGTGAGAAGATTAGATCAAGAAAAGTCTAGGAGGGCCATATGGTGTGAAGAGAAAGGGAGACTTTGCTGCTCTCTTGCTATGCTAATAAGCTCCCTTCTCTGCACAGGAGCCCATTGGCTTTCTGTTTGCAGCTATCTATCTCTCCGTTATGCTACAACTTCTATTACTAGCCTCATAGCAAGAAGCCCTTAAAACCTTCAGGGTTCTGCAGCCTTCACACCATCCCCATGTAGAAGGTGTACAGCCCACAGTAACTGGACAAGATAGAGATATCATAAGGGGGACAGTATGGGTGGTCAAGGGAAGAGTCAGATGGAAGCAGAAATTAATTAAATTTTTTTGATGATTCAATTAATGATTTGCTGGGGAAAAACTGTCTTGTGGTGGGTCTTGAATGAGAATAAGTAACCTATTTGATGTATTGAGAAAGAAGTGGAATAGCAGAACAAGAAAAATAAATGGGCAGTAGATAAGCTGTGTAACTGAAAAAGACAACATTGAAAGTAAGCAAACAAAAAGGAAAATAAACAATCTGGAGCAGAGATAGGAAACACCTTAAAAATAAAGAGGCAGTGAGGACTGGCAGTCAACAACCGTCAAATTAAAGATGTGAATGTGAGAAAAGTGAAATATGAGATCAACCAAAGCATTCTGAATCGACTGGAAAGGGAAGATGTGCCTGGAGGAATGGTCAATAGCAAAGAGATAATACATCAAGGTAGGAGCAGCACTGGCAAAGGTTTTGTTAAACACAAAAAGAAAGGGATAATGTAGTAAGATGACAACTCTAATGCCAGCAAAGCAATGGGGAGACAAAGATAATGCCAAAGTTTTTTGCCATAGACACAAGTGAGGTTCCTGTATCCCAGCATCCCATGTGGTGCCCTCCAGTTGTGTTGGCTTAGAGTGATGGCAGCTGTGATGTAACACATCTGGAGGACATCAGATTGGGAAGGGCCACTGTCCTCCAAAAGGAAATAGAAAATAGAAGTGTGTGTGCAGTGCTGCCCAGCATTTGCGTTAGCTAGAGACCAATGGACTAGACAACAATAAATACCTAGAAAGCAGATGATTACGATCTCTGCCAGCACTGCCTGGCTTCCCCTGCAGCAGACAACTAACTCCAAAATCCTACCTACAACCTTTGTGTTTTTTAACTCCAGCACTGAGTCATCCTCAGCTGTCTTGTTTCCCCTTGATCCTAACAAAGCAATCCAGGCAACATTTGATCCCTTAGTGACTGCCTCAGCCTAGTTTCAGCTCTCAGTAAGCATTAAGTGTTTTGCTGTTTGGACGAGGTTCAATGGCTTGATAAAGTGAGAGACTCTGTTCTGGGCGTTACAAATGGAATGTATTATTTAGGAGAAACGTGTGTGTGTGAGAGAGAAGGATTGGACTGAAGCTGGAATTGGAACTGGTTGACTCTGAACTTCTTAGCTATGCAAACAAATTTCTATGTGCACTGGAGCTCGGATGTGGCTCTTCCCCTTCCTGAGACTCACCTCTTCCAAATCCACCATGCCACCAACAAAGGGTCCCTTCTTCTGTAGTTTAGGTGTGGCATATTAAGCATCACAATTGTGGTCAAGTCCCCGGGTTGTTTTCGCATCTAATTGTTTTTATTTAGATTTCTTATACACCACACTGACCCATCACCTGACATCTCATCATCTTAAGATGTTCCTTTACCTTGGTTAGTAGCTCGTCCCACTTGTGCCTCCCAATAATTATGACAAGTTATAGTTGTCCCAAAACTATACATGACCCCTCCCAGCATGTCCCTTCTAAAAATCTTTTTAAATCAATTTTTAATCAGACCTCCTATTCTTTTGCACTCCTGTGTCTTCTATCCAAGAAAGCCAGTTTTCTGTACATAGCACAAACTTTTTTCTAGCTCCTATACTTTACTCTTGCATTTCTTATTCCTTAGCCCCTACCAAGAACTTCTCATGCCCAAACAATCACAAACAAAAAGCTCTTCATTAGAAAACCTTTTACCAGTTGAAGCCTACAGGAAAAGCATATAGTGGTAGTGGTGAAAAAGAATCATACCCCATCCCCAAAATATATCAAGTGGACACTCAGACAAGCCAGAAAAATGCAGAATTGCCCTACTAGCCTGCAGTTATTCATCAAGCAGCTTCCACTACAACAGCTGCTGAATAAGGTATACACGTGTCTGGTATCACAGCAAGAAACAATTGCCATGTTGGGGGTATCTGAAATAGCAGCCTCCAACCAATGGTTACATAGTGCAGAACAGATAACATGCATGAAATGTCCATGTGGCCATTGCAGGAAGGCCCCTTTATGGTGATGTGGACATCCACCACATGAAAGGTGTGTAACACATTAGTTGTAGATGAATCAGAATCCATCCCTGCCTGCTGTCACAACAGCGTCTAGTAAGACCGTTGATCCTTTGGGAGGGTGTGATGTGGTACAAGTAGATCTGGTCATCAACTGCAAACGACAGATATCTTATAATACATCATCTCAAGGTATATACAAAGTAGCCCACGGCTTAGTTGAACAGCTTGGCTAGAGCTGATTTCTCCATTCCTTCCTGCCCTTTTACCAAGAACCCAGGACTATTCATCAGGAATGGAGATGGTGAGTTCAAGAGCATCCCTGACTACAGGAGACAAGGTGAAAGCAGAACTAGGTGGATCATATTGTAAACAGAATTGGGAATTTTAATCAATCCATAAGCAAGATTTTAAGCCTCAGTGGTAGGGTGGCCATAGCTCAGATGGAAGGAAGATCATGCCTTCTTATATTTAGCACCTGCTAAATTGAGTGGGAATGCTGTCAAGTCCACATTAAGGATTATATATATATTTCTTTGTACTGCATTCAACTAATAGTCTATCCAGACCAGTATTCTGCCTTCTCTACAGTCATTAATAAAGGTTCCATCCACACCCATCTTACTGTCAGAGACCTTTTAATTACATATGAAACTTGGACATTTAAAACACCTAGTCCATCTTACTGTCAGAGACCTTTTAATTACACATGAAGCTTGGACGTTTAAAACACCTAGTCCAGGGGTCTCAAACATGCAGCCCGGGGGCCATTTGCGGCCCCCGCCTTGCCTGCCCCCCCTGAAGCACCCACGTGTCCTCTGCCGTTAAGAGTCAAAAAAAGACCCCCCCTGAAGCACCCACATGTCCTCTGCCATTAAGAGTCAAAAAAAGACTCACCTTGCTCGCCGGCTCTCCCCCAAGACAGCGCCTCTTGCACCCTCCATTCAGAACTGCAGCCTGCCAGCCAGCCTGCCTGTCTGCCAGCTGGCAGGCTGCAGTTTTGGATTAAGGGTGCAACAGGTGCTGTCTTAGGGGAGAGCCGGCGAGTGAGGCACACTGCTGGCCCTTTTCCCCGAGCGCCTGAGCCGGCGGCGAGCGATACCTGAGAGCGGAGCTCACTCCTGGCCCGTCCTCAGAGTGCCTCCAACAGCAGCTGCCACCTCCACTGCCGTTTTTTTTTTAAAATTATGTCGTGTCCTCCTGCTCCCCCAACTAGGCAGTTGCTAGCTGCCACCTCCACTGCCGTTTTTTTTTTTTAAATACGTCGTGTCCTCCTACCCCCCCAACTAGGCGGTTGCTGGTGTTCCCTCCCTTCTCCGCTTCTTCATCCTCCTGCTGCTGCTGTTGGTGATAGTGAAAAATGAGCCGG